TGATGCCGATTGAATTTCATTTGATCTAGGTGTAGATAATCGAGGCATTGATGCCGATTTGTTGTCACGAGATGTCGTAATTTTTGGTTTGGCAAAGGTGCCTGTTCATGAAGACTGAAATAACGAGTCTGGTCATGTTGACGAGAAGCGTCGCTGCGATTTACGCTACGACTACGACTACGATGGTCGTTTCCTCCGGTATTTTCACCGGGGCCACCTTGGTGGTGGGTGCCGCGACTGCGGCTTCGCCGGTCATCTTGGACAGGGTACACTTCTGGAGGAGCCAAACAATGATAATCATCATTGTAGAAATCATCGGGCCGATCGCGCGAGTGGTTGCGATCGCCGTGGTGGCGAAACGGACTTTGGTCACGTTGATCGCGTCGGTCCGAAGACGCGACTATTTATTGGCTGCCTTGGGCGTAGCCGCGGTCGGAATAACCGCCGTGATCGTAACCACGTTGGGAGCGGCCGCCGTGGGCGTAGCCTCCTCGGTTTTGACCGCCATGGGCTAGGCCTTGTTGGAGTGCATTGAGCAATGCACCAACATCAACATGGTGATGGGCGGATCGACCGCCACGACCGCCTCCACGACCGCCGCGTGGGCGATTGGTGGGTCTTTTGTCGGGGTGGGAATGCCCACTACCCTGGCCGTGTTGGTTTCGTCGACCACCGCCGTGCGGTGGGACTTGCCCTGGTGGGATCGCCACCCATCCGGGTGGGAAGACAAAATCGCGTCGCACCGCGTTTTGGTGGAATGCACGAGAAAGCTTCGTGCAATCTATCGTGCGGTGACCTGCATGTGCGCAGTAGTCACAATAGCCGCGATCTTCGCGTGGCATGTCGCGCTGGGAGCGCCATGGACTGAGGCCGGTCGTTTGACCATAGCCATCATAGCTCGAGAGGCGTAACGCGCTCGATCGAGTGGTTTCGGGCGCTTGGCCCGAACCATGAACCGGAACGGCATGAGCCGGCGGTTTGGGACCCAAGAAATCAGGGTATTTCTGGGTCAACTCGTGTCAGTGCTGCGGCAAGAGTTCCCGCAGTTGGGTGTATGGGATGCTCGGTCGAGCACCGCGCCATACTTGCACATCGTGTGCAATGCAATCAGGCAGCGCGGACAACAGCACCGATGCGAGGTGGCTATCGCTGAGAGTCGTGCTCTCGCGTTTTTCGACGGCCTTTCGAAGCTTGTCGAAAGTGACCAGGCTGATCGCTCGAACTTGAAGCCGTGTGGAACTTGGTGTATACGTCCACGGCGGACGCAAACTTCAGCTCTGCGCTGCAGAACTTGCCGCGGAAGCCACTCGATGATGCAGTGGGCGCATTGACCAAGGTTTGCGGCCGCGGCGTCGCGGCGCACTGCCTCCGACAGCGACGCGTAGACCAACGCGATGGATCGTTCGACATGTGTTCGGATTTCAGGAGGTGCTCTAGCGCGGCTTTGGCCGCGCGAGCTTCGAGGAACTTGGCTGAACGATATTCGACCAGGTATTCCATGATGGGATCCATGAGCTTGGGCGCCACGTCATCAAGGACTGGTGGCGGTAGTGATGGCTCAGATGACGGTCGAAGGACTGCGTCGTCGATGTACCGACGCAATTTCTTGGTGTCGCCATCGAGGACGCGAAATGCACGCGTCAGGCCCTTGACGGGCCACTTGGCTTCGACGCCAGTGCATTGCGTCGCCTGAGTGGTCAGGCCTTCTCATTGGAGGACGATCGTGGTCAACTCAAAGTGCCACTCGTCAAAATTGTCGAGTCCACGCAGGTTGTGGACGACAGAGAGGGTTGGGCGGGTTGCCGCAGCAGAGGATGCGGTGGAGCTCATAACCAGTCGGAAGGTGCAAAAGCCAGGGGGAACACTGGGTGGTTGCGGGTGAAACGGAAAGTGAATTAGCTTAGCTACCAGTGAGAACAACTGGCTCTAAAGGCTAGACGGACTAGCTAATGGCTAGCCAATCAGGACACGGCATCCTAATGATGTACCGTGGATATGGCTGGCTATCTACTATCTGAGGAAAAGCCTCTAAAAGGCACAAAAACCTCCTACTAGCTGCAGCCAATGCTGCTACCTGAGGCTTCAGGGCAGTGGTGATGTTCATGACAGAACAGGGTGTTCTGACTCTTACAGTTAGCGCAACATATGCATAAAGTTACAACTTAATTTCACACTGTCGGTATAGGTTGCGCAACCAGAACTTGGTGGTTCCAAGCGTTGGATTGGGATGTCGATCCAAGAGGTTAGGATGCCCACGGCGGATGTTGTAATGTCTTTAAATTCATTGGTCAAGAGGTCTATTAATGCTATGCGTACAGACAGTCTGTACTCGTTCATTGGAAAAGTGCTGTACTGTACATATACTGCACACACTCCCTTGTCCCGCTTACAAATGTTCAAGGCTGAGCAGAATAATTCCCTCATTCAAAC